CCCCAAAACCCCAAAACCCCAAAACCCCAAAACCCCAAAACCCCAAAACCCCGATTTATTTATAAATTTAGATTCCTTAAATTTACAAAAATTAATATGAATCAATTTAATGACTTCAGTATTCAAGATGAGTACCTGGAGGATCAATACGAAGAAGATGAAATTATGCATCCTGAAATCCCAGATGGACAAGATGAAGCTCCAGTTAATTGTAACGAGACTATTGAAGAGAAAAAGCTATATAATAGCCTTTATTCGTCTTCATCGAGTGTAGATCTTAGTGACTCTATTAAAGCTATTAACTCCATCGGACGTCACCTCTTCAAAAATATTACACAACAAAAATCAAAGACCTTCTTTGAACAGAAATATTTCTGCCTTCAGAACTTTGGAGATGATATTGACTTCAGCCTTACAAACATGTCGAATCTTCAAACTCCAGCTAAGGAGACAAAAGGAGGATGCTTGAACACTATTGCCAAATCCTTCAATTTGCAATACAAGCACCTCAACTCTCAAAGAAGTTGTCAATCTGACAAAGGAGATTCTAGAGAGAGTTCTTTAGAGAGAAGTGTTCCAAAAGAAAACGTGTGGAACTTCTGCTCTTCAGAACTTCCAATGGAGAGCATGGGGCAAAATATCGTATCTGAAAAGTTAAGTACCCAGCCTGACTCTCAATCTATGTTGTCTAAGCATTCAAGTTCTAAACTGAACCTTGATTCTAAGCTAAAGATGCCAAAACCAAGTTGGAATTTTGGAATGTTCAACCGGAAGTCTGTGAAGCCACTCTCAAACAGATTTAGTGAAGCTAATGAAGCCGAAGCTAGCGATTTTGAATATAACAAAAACTGTATGAATGGAAGAGAACTCCTGAGCAAGTCAGACACCATTGTTGATCAAGTTACCGTCGGAAAGAGCACTTTCTGTGAGAAAGAAATTCCTCACGAAACTACTTCTACGCACCATGATGACAAATCTTCTGAAGGAGAATCTATGATTGGAAGACTGACTAAATCTGAAAGAGCTCAGAAAGTTAAGAAATATCTTGAGAAGAAACACAGGAGAAAGTGGAATAAACATGTAAATTACCAGAGCCGTAAGAAAGTTGCCGATACCAGACCAAGATACAAAGGTAGATTCCTCTCATCAGAACAGGCCATAGAGCTTGCTCAAGAATTAAGACTTGATCAGAAAAACAAGCTTGAGAAAGCACGAATTTTTATAATCGAAGTGTTTGATAAGAAGACCAAGCAACTCAGGAAGCGTATCTACCCAAATTCAAAGACCTTGAAAAGATACACTACACAAGCCCTAACATAACTTTTTAAAGAGGATGTTGTCAACCTTTCACAGTTAATCAAATAACCGTGAAATTCTGACGAAAAGCTATTTTAAACACTAATATTAAATAATAAAGAATATTAAGACCATCAATTGCTAGTTATCAAAAAGGGGTTTTGGGGTTTTGGGGTTTTGGGGTTTTGGGGTTTTGGGG